GGGGAGGGGGAGGGGGAGGGGGGTAGGGCATATGCGGAGGAAATGACACGCTTGTATCTCAGACGGCGTTGTTTGTTACATCGGACAAATTGCGTAGCTGACAGGAGGACTGCGAGCAGGGAGTTGGCGGGCCGCGTCGTTTGAAGCTGACTTGTTGCAATCAATTAAATGCGCTTCTCAGTGGTTTTCACAGCAACCTTGTCGTGACCAATTTTGCGAGCATTTAAAAGTTACTGTCGGCCTGGTGTAAAGTAAAATCAGCATTTTCCGTTGAAATTCTCCATAAATTGCGTAATGAATTGTCAGAGATAAGACATAAGTAAAACCGATTCACCAGTCGATCTGACGTCATTGAATATTGATTACAGTTAGCTACCGATTTTCACTTATAAAACGACTCTTGGGTGGTCTGACGTATCCGCTGTCGCCTTTTTTGTCTCTGTTCCCACTGACGTTTGATAAACCCAGAAAATAGCCTTGTTATTTTATTATACAATCGACCCACGGCGAACCTGCCTTCAGCGGCACCAACCTCCGTCAGTGAACTGGGTGGTAGCGAGTCTGACCGCAACTCAGAGAGGTACGTGTGGTGGCGTCATCTGAGGTCGTTTTCGGTGCTACTGAATTTGCTGTCTACCAGTTGCCAGCACGAGAAAGCATGCATTCATCGAGAAATAACAGATGTGCAATGCCGCCGTCGCGAGGTGCAATGGTGTCGCAACATGCCCATTAGGGCGGGCTTGAATCATTCCCAGGCCGGCTATTCACACGCCTGTCCACGTCTACGAAACAAGCGGAACTCTGGGTTGCGCAAACACACACACGAAATCACGCACACGAGAGGAGTTTGAACAGCGCATGGCTGTGTGCACGAACTGTGACACGCCATTGGGACCGCTTCGTTACATCACCACCTTCCAGCTCCTCGGTTCTGCGCGCCTGTCAACGCGCGACCGAATGCAGGCACAAACACACCTCTCGTACATCATCTGCTGTTGCGTGTGTGTGTGTGTGTGTGTGCGGGGAAGATGTAGCGATCAGCCGCAAGGGGGTTTAGCACGACCACGACCCCGACGAAGATGCCTCGCCAGCAGCACCACCACCACCGCCGCCGCCGCCGCCAGGGGCTGTCATAAAGCATTTCCGTGCGTGTGCGCACATGTGAATGGGCGCACACACACACACACACACATTCATGCAGACGCAATCGTGCAAACGTTTTTTCGGCACGTTGTGTGCATGACTTTTGTCCAGCGGTGAAGGGGGCAAGACAACTAGCCTTTACCGAGCCGGTGACGACGCTGGGTGACCGGGCTGGAGTTATTGCCGCTTTACTGTGGGTCAGAAGCTGACGCGCGCTTTTTTTTACTGTGCAGCAATAAACGACGAATTAAGCTAATCGACGTTCGTACTTCCTTCTGCTTCAGAGCTGACTGGAAAGCGCAAGAATGGTATAACAGGCAGGAGTTTGCGTGAATCCGACCTGCTGTCAGAAGAATATCCACCCGAATTACAATGCCCAATGACCTTTCACCTCGAAATCAACGCCTGTAGTGGTTTGCTTGCATGGACCACCCAAGTCTCCTTTTATAAGTGTGTGCGAGGGTGAATATTGATTTTCAGCTGTACCCAATAGCCAATGACAGCAGATCATCTAGTGAATAAGCTTCACTCACGGTCGTTCGGGGACAGTTCCCTCGAGAGTGAATCAGCCAGAGGCATCAGAGGTCGGACAGGGTGGGGATACCAGAGAGTGTGGGGTAAGCTCGTCGTTGTTTGGATAAGGCGAATAGGGTACCGGTGAAGAACTGTGACATTATTCAAGACCCTGTCTCCAGTCTCCGGATCTCTTACGGGGGCTGTTGGCAGGGCGGATTATGCCAAGACGGCACATATACTCAAACTCTGCCTTCGCTGCTCCGAGTTTATCAAATGCAAGACGTCTGTCCCTTGAAGTTGTAAGGTAATCGGGTTTTACTTATGCTCATTCGCTGAAAGTTAATTGCACAATTATTGGAGAATTCCCCCTGAAAAGGCTGATTATAATTGTTCGTCATTTTCATTGTTGGCGATGAAAATGAAGTTGAGGCCACGCAGAACCTAATTCCTGAATCTCTGAAAGGTCTGTGCTGCGTTGCGTAAACCGAAAGGCATTCGTAGAAACTTGAAAAGGCAGTTTTGGGGACGTCGTTAGGGGCAGTAGGAATCTGATGATAGGCCCGAACAAGATCAAGTCCTGAAAAGATCTTAGCACGTTTCAACCCAATGAAAACTTGGGGATATGATGGGTGGAGTACCGATCAGGGACTGTGACATTATTCAGGACTCCGTACTCACCACAGAGTCTTCAGTCTGCGGACCTCTTACGTATTATCGGCCGATGGAGATGCGGAATTTGCCAAGACATATGCTCAAACTGTGCTTTGGCTGCTCCGAGTTAAGCCAGACGCGAGTCGTCTAGCTTTGGCGTCGTTGGCGGACCTTTCGTCACAATAAGAGGGCATGACTTGGCAAATAGGTCCATTTTGACAATTTGGGGAAGCTCCTTCGAGATTTGAGCAATGCCAAATGGAGTCCCATCGAATTTATTGAGGCAGAAACTCATTGAACAGACAGAACGGCTTGCTCTGTGCCACATCATCTAGTAGACAAAACTGGGTAAGGAAATCTGCACCAATTATTGGGCATTGAACATCAGCTACTCTAACATTGATGGGAACTGTTTGTGCATACGTTGTTTGAGGCTTGAAGTTGTAGACCGAGAATTACACTCACCTCAGAGCCAGTGTCAATCAAGCAATTCAAGCTAATTAATGAATCAGGGACGTAAAATAGGCAACAAGACTGAGTGTTGCACTTACATTGGACGGCTCGGAGGTCTGAAGGTGGCTGCATAGGCAGTTGCAGACTTGCGTCTTGTCGCTGAAGAGCTGGTGGTACCAGTATAGGCCAGAACGTTCTCTAGACTAGCTGGATCGGCAAAAACGTAGAGAAGAATGCTGTCAGCATTGCGGACGTTCACGAGGAAGTTCGTCAATTCTCAATGATAGGCTGGTCATTTGTTCTGGCAGTATGTAAAATGCACAAACCGTTTGTGCTAGCTGCTACGCCAGAGGAGATAGGTTCATTTCCAAGTTCTTGGGCAAAACACTCGTGGGCTTTGTCAGCTATTCCAGCGAGTTCCTCCATGGGTTGGAGGTGTGTGGTGATTGGGTGGTGTGTTATGACTCGTCACGTGAGCAGAGCGCAGTTGTCAAGTTCCCTTTGAGCATCAAAACGAGTATTCCTTTGCATGTCGTGGCTTCCAAACTACATGACCACCACCACCACCACCACCTTGTCGATTGTTAAGTCACACTGCTTTCCAAATAACCTTGACATTATCTTTTGTAAAAAGCGAGCACTCATCGTTAGCCTGGGACCCCAAATAAACCATTCCTGTTTCTAGGGCTGCATGAAGACCCAGATAAGTTAAATAAGGGCGCTCGTTTTGGGTAAAAATTTGATTTTTTTAACGATTTTCTGGAGCGACTTCATGCCGCTATGTATCGATGCATATTTTCAAATATAAACGGCTTTCAACACGCAGTAGGGCAAGCTGATTGGATGAAGGGAAGCCAATTAATCGAATCAAAGCATAGCTCGATCATGGGTAACGATTGCCACCACCACACAGCCTGATATTTTGCGATTTCTATGGATTATAGATCCCAGTCTTGAAACACTTAGGCTCAGGTGGGACTTTCAATGGTTGAAGTTGTACTGGATCACCTCTATTAATGCATTATTATCGATTACCGATTTGAATTGCCTTATCTCAAGTCCTGGTTACATGAGCTTTGTCAGAGCTAGTTCTGCAGGATATTTTCTACTAGATGCATCGTAGAGCTAAGTTATTTTTCGCATTCTTGATTGCGTACGTCAAAGAACACACACGCTCTGATTCTCACATAGAATTTTCCACACTACAAGCGCACGATCGCCATGATGTTATCGAAACCATGCGTGATTTAGAGATTTGTGGATTTGGAAGTTGTCGTCTCGACATCAGTAGATCCACAGCCTGTCTAGAACACCTATGGCTTCAGCAGTTTGGCGTCGGATTTGACGTTTAACCTGTGGGCTTGATAGCGAATGCTGACACCTCTTTCTCGTCGGTATTATGCACAACTATCGATTTTAAACACGCAGCAGCAGAAAAATCGATTGGAAATCAGACCCCAGAGCAACAATTTGCAAGTTGACCCAGGCTAACACCCGCGTGGTTTGCTGTACCTGTCACTTTCCCGTCAGTTGGATCTGAGCGGATGCATATTCGCGATCCAAGGTTCCGCTGAATTGACCTTGAAATTAGCCTGGCTTTGCTGGGGGGGGGACGCCCATTCACTCAGCTGCATTCACCCAATTACAACTCTGCAGTCACGCCACATCGTTGTTTAAACCAACAACTCAACACTCAGAGTGTCACTAACTCAACTTATCGATCTCCGATAGACCAGGAATATTTGCGTGAACACAATTGATTTGCATCAACATATCGGTCGAAAACACAGCAGACTTCCAACGCAGCCTTATGTTCCCCCCTCGTTCCAGCAGCCAATAAAAATCTATGTTCTGGTTTCAACAACTGCTGAGGTGGGTAGGGAGGAAAGTAAGATAAGAGGTCCACTGTTAGGACACAGATCACTGCTTTATTGCCATTTAGAAATTAAGACAATGGGGGTGGGTGTGATGATATTATGACAGAACATTCCGTTGGAGTGCAATGCGGGCTCGCTGCCTGCAGTGAGGTTGGGGGGGGCAGCAAGGGGTCAGGCGGTGTGGGATGAGATCGTGCAAGCGGTAACCCCTGTCGCCTTCTTTGGGGTCTGCTTTTTCGCCTCGACGTCGTCGCCATCATCATCACTTCCAACGTCGGCGAGCATTGAGGCTGAGAATTTGAGCTTCGGTTGCGACTGCTTGGATTGTGGTGGTGGTGGCGGCGGCGGAGGAGGAGGCAGCTCCGTCAGAGACTGAAGGGAGGGGGCGGTGGAGTGTGAAAAGGCCACGTCGAAAGGCCAACGATGCGTCCAGTCGGCAGATGCTGTGGTGGTGGCGGTGGTGGCATCAAACAGGTGCAGGTTGGCGGCCTTGAAGTTGCGTTGTGTGGACGAGGGCGATTCTGGGTTAACGGGGCTTGTGAGGAGGTGGCGCCCACTGTGGTGGTAGTGGTGGTGGTGGTGTTGGCTGTGGGAGTAGGTTGAGGAGGGTGTTCGACCCTGGACGCGGTTTTTTCGAGCTCCCCCTGTCGCACCCGGACTTACGCTCCCTGCAACGAGAAAAGCGGTTTATGACTTTGATTGGACACACGTCTCTGACAGTGGTTCCTGGATCCAATATTAATGCAGGCGTGTAACCAATGAAAATAATCCACAAATATGCCCTACCGGTTTCGTGGAAGCGTTGGAGGATCTTGCTAACGCATCCGTGCGAGACCTTCAGCTGGCGCGAGATGTCGCAGGGTCGGACGCCGTTTCTAGACATCTGCACGATCCTCAAACGTGTCTTGTAGGGCAGCGGACGTCCATTAATGAACATTCCTCCCAGTTGGTTGATTCGACCTTGACCTAGGGAACCAAGATCAATTCATCTACACGACCACCTCAACATGGGAATCGGGATATTCAGTAGGAGCGTGTCGTGGCTGGATCCATTTCAATTCAAACTTCAGTAAGTGAGTGGTAGTTGTACACACCGTCACCACAAGAGCTATCCTGATAAAGCACCGGGTGGTAATGTGGGCTTCTGGTCTCATCGCCACTGAGTGACAGTAGTAGGTCCAGTTAATGGAAACTTCGCGAGACGATTTGTTTAATTTTGCCTCATAAATATCCCAGGCAGGCATCTTTGGGACCCTTATATAACTGGCCGAAAACTGGGCGATAGAATTTAATGATTTATGAAGTTATTCTGGGAGTTGAGTAGCAGCGTGCGACGCTAACTTCAGAAACTTTGCTTCGTACTGTCAAATGATTTGAGTGACCATTTTTGTGGATATTTGGTCAATGCAGCTTGCGCCAACATCCAAACACTGCGTAAATCGGTGCATTGTTTAAAAAAAGAAAACAGACGAACAGCTGATACGTTTTGATAGTATGTGAAAAACAAGCTCAATACCTCAAAACAGCCACTCAAATTCTCGCCTGGACTTTAGTGGATCGATAAGCTGAGAGTGACTGAAAATCGATATAGCGTGGATAACACTGACTTGCGATCGCATGAAGAGGACCAAGTAAGTAGGCGTCACGAGTCTTAAATTAACTAAATTGTCTTAAGGGATTTGGACATCGTCAAGACAACTGTGCATGGCAGATTCTACAAATCGGCTGTAATGCCTTCTAAAAAAGCAGCATATTTCATTGTCACTACGGCACTTGTAATACCTTCGAAAATAATCGATGACCCGCGTTCAGAGGAGGTGCGTTTGCCAGCAGCTTGAGTACTGACCCGGGGTTGACCCAGAAAATCAATGCCCTGTGACGGGGGGGCTTCTGGTTTCTTGGACCGAGGGGTGGGGTTTTGCTGCGGCAAGGGAGCAGTGAGGACCTGATTGAGAGTTCTTCGATACATGGCCGGTGGTAGGGCTCCAGAAAGCAGCAGAGAGGGGTGCGGTAGCTCATTCAGTTTGGCGGGGTTGCCAAGGAAAGCGTGGGGTGACCAATGCGGAGTGCCGCCGGACCCTAGCGGAGGACTCAAGAGGGGGAACGGAGGGGGAGGTACTGGGGTTGGGGGAACGAGTGAGTTTGAGGTCTGAAAGTCAATTAGACGCTTCAAGGCCAAACGGGCCAGTGCCATCGAGAACTGCTCGTCGCAGAAGGCGGAGAAGGTGGAAGGGGTGGTGGTGAAGGGTGGTGACGTGAGGATGGAAGTCGAGGGTGTCGGGAACGGACAGACACTGGAGCTTGTTGTGGCCTGAAGGGGTGGGAAAGGTGCACCGAAGGGGGCAAGGGCATGATCTGGTAACTTCCTGGGACTGTGTTCCATGAAACTATAGTCACAAAATAACGCGGTCTTAGCGCACACGCAAAAAAGCGAAAAATAGGATTTTCCGGAAACGGACCCAATGCAGGCTTGCTATTCAGGACCGATGCCTGAACTAGTAAAGGATTCTCATGATTGATGACTCATGAAAATGATAGAGCAGGCTCAGTTTTAGTTTAACCTACATTTTTTAAACAAATATTTTTAGGGTTAAGTATTGAATGCAAATATAAGTCACATAACTCAGTAAACAGACTCGTAAATGTAGTTAGCAAGCATGGAATAAATAAGCAAAAAAAACTACAGAATTTACTTGACAAGTCAGGTCACCGTTTGCTTACTGACTGGATTTAGCAATGCGTGACAAATCACGGTATGTAAAAGCACCGAGAAGCAACACTGAGCAATCGAGCCAGTCAGGGGTGGCGTTCCAGTTGGCTCATTGGCCAGTTACGCGCATATTTGGGTGGCATGGACGCACTCTCCGCGCACGTGCTAATGATTCGGCGTACGAGAGTGGAAAGCGTAAAGCGTAATGCCTCTGACGTTCACAACGCACACGAGTCACGCGTGATTTCCATTGGTTGCGTCGCGTATAGGCGTAGCCAATAAACGCGGTGAGCGGAATTCCATGCCTTGTGGTGCTGCTGTGAGCCATCACGAAGATTGTGCGTTTGTTTTTATTAGTCTCTTGTGTTGAAGTAAAGAACTTGCATTAACTTTAGCATATTTAAGAGAAAAGTAATGAAAACTGTCAGTGAAAAAGAACTATGACAGCTGAAATCTTGAGCACAGTCAATAAATATTTACGTGAGGTTGGCTGTTACGGTGATAAGGCCACATGATAAGCCAAGACATAGCAAATCTGCTACACATTAGACGCTTCTAGAAGGAATTCAAACACCTGACACCATGAAATGAAAATCCACAGATCCTTTGGAGCAACATCTCTACAATGAAATCTTCCAATTCATTTTTGGTGGAGTTGACGTTATTCCTCATCTGGCGTTGGAGGATGCTTGCAGTTTGGTAAAATAGGAGGTCGGGCAACGTGTGGTCTCGATGAGACCATTCCACCAATCAGAACGCTGTCGATGACAAAGCATTTACAGCCAACCGTAATTGAGCCAAACTGCATCCAGTGCTGTACGACCAGAAAACGTTGCAAAATCCCAAACTAGCTTCATTTGCCACAATCTGATTCTCACAGCTATCGGGAAGATTCTATTGATTTCAAGATCGATTTCTGGCTACCTCAGAGTTCGCTTAGTCAGTTACCAGGACTTTGATTTGAAAATTGGTAAAATTAAAAGTGTTGGGCATTCGGACTTCCCTTTTGTGGAACCCATTTGTGGGTAATGTGAAACGGCGCAGTTAGTCGACGGCTTTGCCTAGTCGTGCGCGTTTTTGATAACATGGGCAATAAATTGTGGGGCAAAATGGTATCAATTGGAGTTTTATGGGCCAGAATGATCCACTTCACCACTCTAACACGCTCGTACATTTTATGATCGCAGGTGATCGCGACTGAGAGAATGCCCGAGGTTGTTTGAGGGGGAAAACATTTAAACGCTTTTTCGCTAGTCTGCATTTTATGCGACCTCAGCACGAGACGTGCCTGATAGGTGTCCAAGATCGAAAGAAGGGGGGAAGGCCTTGGTAGCGCCAATGCCTTGTAGGTGTTAAAGCGGCACTAAATACAACGCTGTAACGATGTTGGAAGAGATGGATTTTGAGTGATTTATGACGAAGCCTACTACTGCTGCTGCTGCTGCTACTGCTGCAATAAATTACCTGTGAGGTGGAATTTTGTTTGCGATTTCAGGGTTTTGACATGTGAGTGACTTATAATGAAGCAGTTTGTTTCACTACTTGCACATAAGAGATTCAGGCAATTGAGGTAGACGAATCAATACGGCCGCATCGATTGAGTTACCTGGCGTCTCTGAACTAGACTCCGATAATTTATGAATGCAGAAAGCTAAGGGAGAGAAGTAGGCTCAAAATCGTTGTAAGTTATCAAAACCAACACCATTTTTTCAGGGGATTGATATGTTTTCAAACCCCAAAAAGAAGTATCAATCAATGTTAACATCAAGCATTGAATATATGTGATCTGTTGAAAGACCGCCAGAAAAACAGGCTAATCTTGTGAGGAAGATTCAGCCTGGAGACCGAGGGACAGTCACCCAGGATGAACACGCATCAGGAGCTCTGGAACAATGGCTTCGATGTAGATGAGAGGAGGCGATACTGGGAGGGGGGTGGGACAATTACAAGCCATTGCCTGCCCTGTATGGGCCATTAAGCAGCCCACACCTGCCCGCTTGCTTCAGCGAGCACTAAAAGACAGCAATCGGTGAGACGGCGTTTCTTGATCCACCCCCAACCCTTCCACCGCGTCATAAAAGTGTTGACCAATTAGTTAGTAAAGCGGGTCTGGTTAATGGAGGAGGCATAATAACTCCAGTACCCTCTTGAAATTGCTTTTCTCACTTTCCTGCTTCATGTTAAGTTATATTATTGCTTGCTAGTGAATTTGTGAGTTATATTTACTTGGCTCTGTTCACGCGATTACAACTCAATGTTATTTAAAGACATCGATTTTCAATTCAAAACTTGCCACTCAGTTCTAATTTCTGTCAACTTATCGATCCAGGAGAATTGGAATTTGCACAAGACATAGGACTTTTTTCAGAATCGGAACAGGCCCTCCTCAAGAGGCCTCGCTTTAACACTTTCCCGTTAGTCTTGATTTGTCCTTTGTTTGAATATGCTAATTTTTTGGAGCACTATTCAAAGTTTAACAAGCAAATAACTTCGTAAATTACAGCAGCTTAAGCATTAACTGACAAACTCAAAGTAATCAAAAACCAACCAAGAAAGTTCGAAACGACAGACGCTTTCTTGCGGGTTATCCGCTGGCTAAACTTTGAATAGTGTTCCAATAAAAAAAGCATAGTAAAACAAGGAGTTACACTTGGTCTTGTCCTGCTTTGCTAATGCATAGACGTGGTAGACAATGGGCTAAATTTTTTACTTTTGGAACTTTTAAATCTGTACCTTAGTTAAACTTGCTGGCATCAAACAGCATCTATAATGCCATGGTTACAGATTTTCCTCTGGTTTTGGATTGGTTAAGCATGCATCACTCTCAAGACAAGCCTGCCCAGATACGGCTACCAAATAGCCAATTAAATATCTTCATGGTAGACAGTCGCTGGGCTGTAATATGACCGTATGCAAACACCACGAAGATTCATATTTGGCAGGTGACACAGAATAAACAATGCTACAAGCTATCTCGGAGCCCCGTTCAATCTCATTGGATGGTAGGGTACCCTGAGTGACTAACAAACCCAAGGCCGTCAAGGCCAGACCGGGAAAGCGAGGTGATTACAGTTCAAACGATTTATTGCCGTGGCAAAAGTCTGGTTACACGAGTACTAAATTGTTAGTGTATATGGGATCGATTAATATCGATCTGTAAAAGAACATCGCTACGTGAAATGCGTTCAAGGTAATCGACTGAATTCAAGTTCACCCAATGCACGAGGATCGATGTATCGATTTTGTGCAATTCGTAATGCATTGCTTGGCTACTGCATTAAATGGGAATGGGAAGTAACCTATGTAGTTTGTCGTAAATGCTTAAAGATGAAAAGGAGAGCCAGAGAAAGGTGGCGTACGAACATACTACCTGCCACGTTAGCATTGATTAATCCGTTGTTTAAATTCTGATTCTTATTGAGCGCCATTCGCAATTTGCTCTAGGAGCAAGCAGTGTTCACGGTAAACACTGCCTGTGGCTGCCCAGAGCTGTGTGTCTATATATTTGTGGCATACGTTTTCTGTTTATACTTAAGAAAAAATTAACGCGCCTTCAACATTTCCAAATTATCTTTTAATCCTTTTTGGTTTCAGCATGTAATATTAAGTGTTTTTGCATCGTCTTTGGCTATGCTACTTAAACTGCTTTGAGTAGAGTAAGTTAAGTCAAATCGGTACAAAAGTAATGTCTGTTTTTAAACCAACCAAAAGTGTACATCCTGGTACTAGATTTCGAATGTCATATCAAATAATTTGCATCATTTTCAACAAGCGTTACGTCAACGCGTAAATATTTTCTTAAGCATGGTTGCTTTTAGTTAAAATAGCACTTTAAATCAGCACAGTAATTTTAAAATGGTGATGCCTGTAAAATGAATACGATAATTAAAAAGTAAACGACAAACACTTGAAGTGAAAGCTTTGTACGCGCTTTTGACGAAGGCACTACTTATAGACTTTCAGTAAGATTGAGGGACAACAAGGCGGTACAAACCAACGTCATAGAGAAAGACCGTGGTTATTAGTAAACATAGCCAGGTTTGGCTACAACATTTCCAGACTTTCCTGTCATGACACGCTTAGCTTGGGCTAAAACGGCTCCTCAATCCTACTTTCGAAACCACATATCTTAATCAAACGCTGTCGCAAAAATTCACACTCTTCGTAACACTTCACGTTGACACATTAACATTCACATACACATAATATAATGCTTAAACTCCCATTGTTTCAATTTGTGCGGCGTGTATCATTCGCCGTGTGCATCAAAATTGGGTTTAGTCAAAGCAGCATAAAACCACACGCAAATCGTAGTAAAAATCAACACTCCCTACTTAAAGGCATAAGTAGAATTTGTTATCCCATTTCAGTTTCTACAAGTATGACGATACCATAACTTGGTCAGTATGTTGGAACGGAAAAAAATGAATGTAAGTAACAAACTAAACACAAAAAGCTAAGGCGAACACCACTGTACATAGTCTAACTAGCAGGAGTTGGTTATTGCACCTGTATTATAAAGTATACATTTAGAATTTGGACTTATTGAAACTCTTGTTGGTTACAAAACCCAACATGACAGTTATCAAATGACTAAACTTCTTTGTATAATAACATGCACTCCCTCCAGAAGCAATTACTTTGAGCAAGCTGCATATTTGAACAAAATGTCACCTTGCGTCATTATAAAGTTGCAATATAGGCCACGAAATTTGTGGTGTTAGATGGCTGTATACGACAAGCACATCCTAAACCTAGAAACAAAAGAAATGAAAACTAAGATTCACAAGACCTTCAGAGGTCCATAGCTGCATATCCCATAATAATTAGACTGCATTACGGTAACAATTTATAGTGGGTTGATACCAGAGTACATTAATTTTAATAAAGTGCCTGGTACAGACTCCTCTAAGGTATTAGCATTCCAAGCATTAAACTTCAGTTAAACAAACCAGTTAAAATTAACTGCAGGAAAATTTTATAGCATAGTTTTACGGTGGCGATGAATTTAGTAATGCATGACCCTACATTAAAGATTATATTCATGAAAAACTGGATAACTATAAGAAAAAATATGCAGAATTCTCTTAAGTTTCTTTGTGTTTTAAAATGTCCTTTGGTTTTTTTTCAAGTAATGCCCGTAAAATTAAACCAACATGATTGTTTTACTACATCAAATTTGTACAGTTGTTCCCAAACGTCTCTCTTTATTGGGCAACGTGTATTGGAGGCTTTAGTAAACTTAGACTGACTTGAATTAGGGAATGAGGCGGAACGGCGTTGCGGCTGTTGCTTTAGTGTTTGTCGCAACAACTTTTATGGTAATCAATGCATATTACCAAAAGAAGCAGTTTTACTCAACTGTCGTCTACCTTACCAAGCATAAGCTGTTTTTCGCAGTATTGAAGTGAATAGTACTTATGAAAATTTTAGGCAATAATCCTGCAATGCTTTACTATCCTTCTGCTTATTGCAAAAGCAATAACCTGGATTTTCTTCGGGACTATCCAACAAACAGAGCTGGATGTACGTTGTTTCCTTCCCGCCCAATTTATATCTAGAATGTCCTTTCGCGTATTTGGTATACGTCCTTTGATATGTGCCTGCTTTTCGCCTTTTTTCAAGATGAGATAAACACAAAATTCGTGTTTATGTTCACATTGATTTTATTCATGAAGAGCTTCCACTGGCTACTTGAGGGCCGAGTGGATCATGTGAGTGTGTTTCTTTGGTTAATATTTTTCTAGATGGAGCGAACACCGGTAATTAGGACCTCATTCCATGTTCGGACAATAAGTACGCTAGCCTCAAATTCAAGTTTACTTTAGGCTTTATGGTGCTACTGGCATCTATTGATATTCTTCATATTGCGTTCTTCTTTTGGGGAGTGTCAAGTCAAGAAGTGGCTTCCCTTGCCGTTGGCGCCGAGGTAGCCATTTATAATCTCACACAATTTGCCGCTAATTTCTAGTACTACATACTCTTGTTTGAGCTGATCTCCACAGTAATGCGTTACATTCTCCAAACGATCAACTCTATGCGCGACACACCGTGGGATCAAAAATCAATGTATCTACTCTATGTCGACGTTGTTGTTGGGTTGCTGCGGCTATTTTTCTACTTGGAGTTCGCCCCCACCCTCTGGCGACATCACCCATTTCCTCTATTCATAATCCGGCCAATTTATTTGAACTTGAGATTCTTGAAGAAAACAGTAAGAGTAAGTTTGCTTTATCACGTTTGCGATGGCGTGTTCCAGATCATGTCTTTTCATGACGCCTTTCTGGTACGACTATCTTTACAGGTTTTTCCTCAGTCTCTTTGGTTTTCTAACTGCTCATCGAAGGCTCCCTTATCGCATTAGCTTTCCCTGTTTATTCATTTAAAGTCCTGTTCCTTTTTTGTTTAGGACCTTTTCATGTCAAGGCGGGCTATTCGACTGATGAATACCGTATTCCAGGACGTTACTGCAACTGAGTTGGCTGCCTCAAACGACGCAGTGTGTATCATCTGTCGTGAAGAGATGCAAACACAAACAGATCCGCCCGCGGAAATTCCTCCAGGGACCATTAAACGTCTTCCGTGTGGCCACATATTCCATGCTGCCTGCCTCAGAACCTGGTTTCAGCGTCAGCAGACTTGTCCCACTTGTCGTCTAAATGTTCTTCGCCGACACACCGCCGCGCAACGGGGACAAGGTAACCGTGAGCGCGTTGCTCTTTCGGGTCAGAACCAGGAAGCGCCAAATCAGAGGGGCGCTGGTGGCACACAAATTCGAATCGGTATCCAGCGCACCCCGCGAAGACAAGCAACAGGAACTAGTGGCCAGCAAATGCACACCTATGTAATTACTCCTTTGCTTTATTCACCAATCTACACAAAACACGTTCGCATCCCCAGGTACTTGGTTAAAAGTTACCTGTGTGCAGCCAGGTGTTTTCGTATTTTCTACTGTCATGTAACTTTTAAACGTTGCAGTTTAAATATCTTCTTTTCCTCGGTGTCTGAAAATACCAATAATTACACCGGTTATTATTACTATTATTATAGCCTACGAACCTCGTCACATTTTTGCAACAGAATGCAGTGATTCCGGGAGGATCGCAGCCTAACCAGGTGGCCGGTAGCGTTGCACCGCCGTTTTCAACTCCGCCGATCATTATCCCGGGTATGCAGTCTTACTTGCCTATTCCTGTAGACAAATTTGCTTTTTTTGAACATAGATCATTACTTATTTAAATAAAACGCTCATACACTTTTGGTCAAGAATGTGTCCGTCAATTTTATTGTCAAGTATACGGCATTACACGTAGGCACTGCGAATTCAAATATGGGCAGGATTTTCACAGTGCACTGAACCTGTGTGTGTTCAAATTTGGGAGAATTCTACGCACCGTAAGATATGCGAGTGTTGGCAGTTAATCAGGTGTGGATGCAACTGGCGGTCTTTACAAGAGGTCGCCACTTTAGCGTCTTTGGGTTGCCTATTCGACAACAATGTGTCATGGGATCACTTGGTGTTAACCCTCAACAATAAACGACGTTTACTGATGCCGTTTTCCTACCAGCCATTGGTTCTTCACACTTATGTGAAGTTAAACTTAGTTTCGCTTCCCCTACCCACTGTTTTGCCCAGTTTCGTGCCATTTACTTTTGCGTACGAGTGCTTTTGAGACTTCCAAAGTCACCTGTTGAATGTCATGCAGCGGTTTTTACTCAATTTTATGCCACTCCTCTTTTCGTTCGATTTTACTGATCGGGTTGATGGTGAAAAATATTTTAAAACATTTTTGTTATAAGAACAGTGCTACTTTCTGGGCGCAAACATGTTTCTGGAAATTGCGGCCACGTTATGGCGAAGAATGCGGGCAAAAGCTGCTTCTTTGTTGTTAGCAGCCGGCCTCTTTGAGGGACGATTTTTCACGTAAACCTGTTTTAATCAACAAGTCCAGCACTTTGAGATACTTTCAGAGGCGTTTATTGCCACACAGCGGCGTTTGAACGCATCTACCGTCCACGCACGCACATATTTGCAGAAAGCAACTATCTGAAAGTAGTAATCCAATCGTTTGTTCTTCTGGGTCACTTAAACTTTTAACAAACCTTGGTATTTTGTGTTCTTGTTTCCCGGTCTTTAATTGGCTCGTCGCGCATGGTTTAGTCTACAAGGTTTTTAGCTTTTTCGTTTACACAACCACCATGACCTCTAAATTAGAGCACTTTGCCAGGTCATAACTCAAGAGATGGTAAATTATTATCGTGAAGAATTTTGTTTCTGGTGACAATTTGAAGATGGATTTTCGTAAGTGCTATATCGCAAACGTTGTCATTCGAAACCGCTTACAGCGCCCGAACCCATGTCAAGTTTTGCTCGTTGAAATCGATTTCCGGCGTTGCTTTTTGCCGATGTCTCTGGAGTAGGACCCAGGCGCACACTTTGAACATTTCTCTGGGCCGCCAACTTCTCCTCACTGGAAAATTGTGACGAAATAAACACTCATTCTCCAATGCAATGAGGCGTCTTTCCGGCCTGCGTAAAAATGCCATTCTCCCAAATTCAGGAACACTATCTCCTGGTTATCTTGTGAAGAATGATGCGTAGTCATGTCCCCCAATCTTTTGCGGAATGCTAGCTAATTTGCGCTGAATTTTGATTTCTCAATTCAAGGCAACCAGTTCCTGCCCGGCCTGGTGTCACCCACGCCCGCGCAGCCGGTCGAGTTGGCCCAGGTCGAGGCGACGGAGCGCGAGCTGCGCACCAGCATCGAGGCGCGCGTCGCGACTCTGCAGCAAATCCGACTGCTGCTGGACGCGGTCATCCTCCAGATGAACGCCTACGTGGCGGCCACGGCGAACCTGCCCCCAGCGGCGCCGGCCGCCGTCAGTGAACCACCTCACAGCCAGAAACCCCCATCGTCACCCCCGCAACCCTCGGGGCTGGGCGACGGCGAGTCTGACTGTGGCCGCCAGAGCCCGAAAAACGGCAACTCAGAGAGGTACGTGTGGTGGTTGGTGGCGTTTGGTGGTTGGAGTGGTGCTTATTCTGTGATAAGTAGCCGATTTGCCTTTTATCGTCTCGTGTTGATACGTTAACCTACTATTAGGTAGTGCTTTAGTGCAACCTAGAACAAATGGTGCATTTCCATACCATGTTCGCCACTAGCATTTGTGCACAAGATCTCATCCACTTCATGAAGTCTTTCTTGCTTTCAAGTTCCAGTATTGGAAAACTGCCCAGTTCGAGAGAGACTACGCCGGGTGACGATGAGCCGAAAACCGAGAAGGATGGTGAGTGGAAGGCCTTTTTGCATGCATGTGTGTGTAGTCGCAATACTCTAACAGTTAAAGGCAACCATGAACGCATTCGGATTGTGTTTCCCGTGCGAGCCCAATCTGGTTGGTTCCGTTAGCAACTGATGATGGATCGGCTTCGTTGGGCACTAAGAAATGGCGTAATCTCAAAGCATGAACCACGCAGAGGGTTGTTGTTATTTAGTCGTGTTGGGTCTTACGAATGTCCCTCATTAGGGCGCGGGTTGTGGTCACAACAATTCTATTGTTCTCACGAAGAAAACCGAAGCCGCTATCGGTGTCACTGACTTCAAGGGATCTGAGCGAGGCCTTTCAGCATGCCACCATTTTTTCCCACCCACTGCTCGGTGCTTGTTGAGGTCCTCTTCCCTGCTTCGGAGCTGGTCATGATCCTTTTATCTTCGCGGCGGAGTTAATTGGCTCAAAAATCTTTATAACTTCGCAGAAATAATCGTTTTAACCACTATCGTTTGTGAGGCAATTATGCAAACTGAGTTTATGAGGTGGTCACAGGATTACCCACACCACTACCCTCAAGAGCCGCATCAACTTTCAATGCCTCCCGATATCTCGTAAACTGCACTCTTGCACTGAGCGTGAAGTGTGGTTGAATGGCTTTGTCAAAACACATTGTCTGCATCGGCCGAAAATCGTGTAAGAACGTGGGATTGAGGGAAACCACCACAATTTCTCCAAATAAAACCTGCGAATTGCAGGATTCGGTTCTCGTTGGCACCACTGTACAACTTTGAAGCGACAAAGTGTCTCAATTCTTAGAGAAACAGCTCTGACATTCTTTAAACCCTCAAAAGCATTTGAGTAATGATTAGGCTTTGTTTACTAGCTGGACTTTTGGTCCAAACATAATTTCGTATCAGCAGTCGCGTTGATGTTCTCACCGTTCACGCTTATTGAAACAGTCCATTTAAATGCGTCACACCTTCCTGCCTCTTTTTGCATCGTGCGGGGCAGAACAGAGCTATAACCCTATTCATCCCCAAAATCGTTGTCTCGGGGAGTCTACCCTCATTCCAATAGTAGACTACAGTGCAAGGCGGCATTTTGGTTTGCGCTACAAAGCTCTTATATCAGTGAGCGACGAGTCAGGCAGATCTGGGAAATATCTCAAGTGCCGGGTTCATGAACTCTAATTTCACATCGCATTTCTTTTCCGCTGGCCGCATTGGTAAACTGAGGTTTCGAGTTCGTAGTTCAGATCTCAGGAAGGAGGCTTTGCAGATTCTTGGAACTGTTATAATCTGCTTTACGTCTGTCAAGTTAGTAGATTTTTGTTCACTTTCAAACGACAATGGTTGACACATCGTTGCTTTCATTTCGCCAGAACTCACGGTGCTCCGACAACGCCGATTGGAGAAACTGTCGAAGGAGACCGCTGACTCTTCGTCGAAATCCCCCGGTGTTGGCGCAGAAACCTCATAAGCACACTCTCCGATTGGCTCCTCTTTATTCCTGCATCACCTCCTTTTCTTTCGATAGTAACCATGTCCCTCGTTATTTGACTACTAAATCCAAATCCAGATCGCTGTAAAGGCGGGGTTCGCACATCTTGTCCCTGGGTTTGGTGCTATTTACAATTTGTTATTTTGCTTCTGCCTTGATGCGTGTTTACTCGGGGGTAAGAGGATGTTTCAAGTTTGTTTTCGTGGAAAGGCAACACGACGGTCGGCTAATTGGTATACTAAATGAACGTAAATTGATAGCTGATGTCCATAGAGTAGAGGCACGTTAAGTATTAATGCCTGCCCTGCAGATGGTCAATGAATGCGAGGAGGCAGTGCTAGAGGAGTGTTCTTAGTGTGTGGTTCTTTTTTAGCCCTCGAGATAGTTCGGCAATTAGTTCTGATGCAGCATGTGGCCTTGAACCACGCTGGGACCGCGGAATTAACCCTAGCCCGATTACTTTTCCCTGATACCTGCGATGAAGAAAAAGATCGGAGAGGACGTGAACATAGCCGTCTACTTCAGAGCTCAAACACTTTGGTGTCGTGTGCGGGGTTTGCGCGTGTGTATTCATACCTCGGATGTGTGAGTCATATATGCGCTAACATCAAGACCTAAGTGTGAGGATAATCCAGGATAAATATTTATGTGAATGAAGGGGGAGTTGAGGATCCGTGCGGCTGGCGACATGCTGCGACAAGGGGAACCCGGTTTCGGATGTGGAGCGACCGGATTAAGGGGTGTGAATAAACGCGATTCACAATAAACTTGATTACTTAGCTGGTGTGATAGATAAATATTGAATTCCCCCGAAGTGGCATGTTTAGAACTGACTTGACGAGATCATCGGTCAGTAGACCACCAGGTGGGTAGACGAGGGGCTGACATCGGTGTGACACATGGTAGGTTCAGGTGAGTCAGGTGCAAATATTGGTAAGATTTCAGTCAAAAGGAAGGCAGCACGTAAGATATTTCTCCACTAAACCGTTCTACGGAGTTACTAAATTTGGTAGCTAGTCGGATTTAATTTTGAGAATCGAAGCGCCATGATTGTCTTGACTCCACCTGAGAATACAAGATAGGACCGTCATTTGGACCTGTTATATCAAATCCTAGACTGCGGTAGGGATGAAGAGGTGATGGCCGGAAAACATTTGGCTCGGCAAATTAAATTTTTCAGTTGATCATACGCAAGGTAGCTGATTCATTGACTTCTGACGACATATCGAAAAACCGGAGTCTAGGAATTTCAAAGTGCTATTCTCCGAACTTCCTCGTTATTAATGTCTTGATCATCGGGGAAGAAAGGGAAGTTACTCAGTCATATACATTAAATAGTTTTAGAAAATAAAGTTCGTCGACTTACAGAGCTCTATTGTCATGAACCCCACACCATGACGGATTACAGAGGCTCTTACGTAGCCTTAGCCAGATATTCTTGATGACCAAATAGCTGTGACATTTCAGCCTTCTTTCATGGTTCGTGAGCTCTATTTAGTAAGGTTTGTACATTTCAATTTAGATCCAATTATGAAGGCTGCGTCCCAACTAAAGGAATGTCAAGATTAAGGGGAGAACTACCACAAAATTCGAACACTTGTACAGATACATTGATGCGGGATTAGTTATATCACGCAAAATTTTGGGACAAGTCAACATCCCCGTTTTAAATAAACTTTTTATAAGTATCTTTTGAGTGGAGTCTCTCTGACAATTTTTAGACTGTCATTGATGATACCCTAAAATGTTAATATGACGTAAGTTTTTACTAAATCTGCGTACAATTTTTATTTCTATTGTTACAGATGGAATATTTCGTCAATAACACAACATTCAATTACAATACTTTATTTAGAAAATAATGACATGCTTGATGATTTGCACAAAATGTCGGTTAAATGATTTACTTCTGATCATTATGAGAGCTCTGTTACAGACTTGATTAAAAGGGAATTGATCTAAACCTTAGTCAATCGTTATATCTTCTGCAGATAAATTAGAGGTATTTTAAACAGCAAGAGTGGGATTTAATAATGACTAATAAAGTCAACAGTTAATAAATAAATTTCTAAATTATAATGTTTGTAAAGCAAAGAATTTTGAATTAAGGATATCATTGTCTATTTAGGCGTACACGTACTACAAGCGTCCAGAAGTGAAGTAAAAAAAGCATTATGTCTAGTTAAAATGCATAAGAAAGGAGGATTAGCACAAAATCCCTGTTTTATGTATATGGACCAAAAAGATTATTCTAATACAAAAAAGGATGATTTTCGGTACTGGTGCCATGCATTTTTTTATATCAAAGTGAATGGTGATAAAATATCGTAATATATAATGTCATTTACCATCAAATTAAATAAAAAGCACTACAAATTCATAGAAAAGATGTTCACAGTTTTTGAAATTCTTATTACATTATAATTTTTGTTATTAATTAACAATTAAACATATCTGGAAAAAAATAGGCAGCAAAGTTCGATTCCAATTTCTTCTTATCTGCTTTCCAATTCACATGTTTACATTCACATTTATGTATTAATTTAAATGTTAGGTAGTCCAGTATTACTTCCAATATTCAGCCAGGAACTATTGATTAATTTTCTGACAGTGAAATCAAGCATCTGATTGCATATTTGCTGGATTTATCGAACGTAATTTCAGTAGAGAATTATTAGGTACAACTGGCCGCAAAGGCAGTACAAGCATTGAGTTTTCTTCCGCTACAAATTTACATAATTTCTTTAGAAAAAAGGTCAGCAAAATCTGTAAAAACTTGAAAAATATAAATATAAGAATTTCGAAAATTGTCGATTATAGAGACATATTTTTGGCATATTTTTTTCCGTTTTTTAATGAATCGTCCATTTTTTAAAATAAAAAAACGTTGGGTATGATTTCTAGCATCGCGTTATCTTTTTATAACTTCTTAATTTGCATCTTAAAAAATTTGTTTTTCCCAGCTAAGTTAATAAATTTTTATCAGCTGACGCGTCCGGGATATTTGGGGATTTTTCTTCTTAATGGCTGAGATCGCAGAGGCTAGAAGGCCTCGGAAGACTAAAAATGTTAGTTTGAGTTAATTTATGGCCTATTAGCTATTTTTAGGCATTTGTTGACATAGATTCACTTCCAGTGGTTACTGATCCTCTACCTATTAAGGCCAAAGCGCTGTCTACTCTAAAAAGTACTGATGTTTTGCCTCAGGCTGAACAGAGTATTGAAAAACAGTACCCGGTGGAAAATGTTTTTGAAAGACCCGCAGATGTGGACCACTCGAGCGTTTGTCAGAACAGTTCTGGGGCTACATGTAGCGATGAATTTGCCAGTGCTCCTTGTGCCTCTACTGCAGTCAATGATTGCCCTGCTAACTTGTCAAGCGAATACAAATCCCTGGTCGCTAATGTTTATCCATTGGAATCCAGCGAAAGTTTTTCAGTGTCTGCCCCGCCTTTGGTGTTGTCGTCTGAGGTGTTAGAATTCAAGTATGAATTCGCACTACCTGCTTGTTACAGTGTCGACGACCTTCAAAACTTCTATAGCAATCAGTCGTACGATGTACTTGATTCTACTGAAGATGCGTTCTTCAAAGTGAGTTTTAAAAGTCCGATTTCAACTAAAGTCCATAGAAATTGAACCGTATTCATTCTTGTACAATTTATTTCGTTTTATCAGATTTTTTGCTAATGTGTATATCGATTCTCATTTAGGAAGCATTTTGTGAATACGGTACCATAACAGCAGCTAAGAACGTTGGCGAAAATGAGCTGCTGCCTCCTCGATCGTTAAACTCTCACGCCGGGTCACAACTTCACGAACATCCTTTGTTTCTCCTCGTCTTAGCTTATGCTCAACACCTTCTAGCGTGGAGTTCTATGAAAGCAATGCTTAATCGCAAACAAGAGGATGTTTCTGAGTTAGAAAAAACTATTTGGAAGTTGGAGCAAAATCCAGGCAAAATCTCAGTAGGTTTTAAATTGCCATTTTTTAATTATCATTCTCCGAAATTGGCTGTACCATACCCCATAATCACAGGTTAAATTTCATTGTCATAAATTTTTGAGGCCGATTTTACTTTTCGCTAGACTGAAATCAGCCTTTCACGAATCGTTTTCTACTTGACCTCATTAAAATATAGCTTTTGTATACTCTCCTTCCACATTAGATATAAACAAGAGCCGCAGTAGCTCTCACAGATTCTGATCATTTGACGTTCAAAGCCATCGGCTTGTGGTTCCACAACGCTTTGGTCGTTGCGTGCAACTACTTCAAATGTATTTTTTTGTTACCTTTCAAACTTAGGCAGTTATCTAACTCGATATTTTTTCTCATTCATGCCCTTGTAATATATTATTGCTTACCCGTCTCTGTCACCTTGTAATTTCGAAGCTTTTTCCGTTAGGGAAAATGTCGTGATGGTTGTGAAGTTTCCTTGCATTACGAATACGAGACTGCTGAATTCTCATCTGAACAAGCTACCCGCCTTGCCTCCGCACAAAGGGACCTACGAAGCCTACTACTTGACCAGCTGTCAACGTGTTCCTTTAAAGTCGCATTCTCAAGGTGCGTTTCATGTCAGTTTTTTGCCTTCATTTCCATCATTTCTACCACATAATCCAAATATTCTGCTGCACTGCTAAATGTAGGGACTCCAGTATAGACAAAGATGCGGAAGAACTTTAATTTAACCCAATTAAGCCTTTTTGTCGCCCAAGTTTTCGCGTTATACGCCCTATTTGGTTGGCAAATGTCATTATTTTGTTGATT